TCGTTTTCCAGCTCTAATTTCACTATAGGACTATTATAGAATTCATTCTAAAAAGGTTAAGAAGATTACAATATAATACTCGCTCCTCCATCTCAAATTATAAAATATTTTCAAACAAAATCATATATACTAATAAAATTCATTAAATAAATAAGTACACTTTATAACTTTATTTTTTTAAGATAAAAATATAAATGTTCCTCATTCATTTAATACTTTATTTTTAGAAAAAATATTAAAAAGAGAGAATAGATGAGAAGGGTAATATTGAAAAACATAATTAATGAAACTTTATTTTTGTTGAAGTATTTTATATTTGAAACTCCAAATCTCCTTTAAAAGTGTCTTATAATTTAGAACGAAGGTAGTACTTCCTCTATACCACAATATAGGGTAACTTCTAGAACACTTGTTTGGTCCAAAATATAGGATAATCAATAAATTTTAAAAATATTTTTTAAATATATTCCTACTTTATTTATTACTCTTTTTGAAAGATGATATATTGAAATTCAATTATTATTATCAATATATAGTATATTTATTGATGGTACAATTAGAAAGATGTAAATTTAAAAAAAATTAAGGTTTTAACAACTTTTTCAAGAATCATAAATTAATAATCAATTCTCTATATTATAGTTTAAAAAGAGTACTATGCATCATATACTATTTAATCAAAAGTAATGGTGCATGTCCATCGATAAGAGTATATTTTATAGTTAAATAGGTAAAGATTTTGGTTTATAATATGTTAATATTGTATACTTATTTAATAAAAATTTTATATATATTTTTCTCTATACTTAGGAATTTTGATACAAAATTTACTCAAATCCTTCCTTTTTATATATTTTACAGGAAAAATTGTAAAGGAGAGAAAAGAGGAAAGCAAAAAAATCATAAAAGGAACAAGAAAGGGAGAATTATATTAAGGATCTGGGAAGACAATTTGCAAATAAGAATTAATACAAAATAAATTATTGTTAAAATAAAAATATGATTTTTTTTTTGATATACTTGTTATTGATCTTGTGAATAATTTTTTAAAGATCTTTGATAGATCTCCAAAAAAAAACAAGGAGAAAAGACAAGGCGGAAGTTAAGAATGAAGAAAAGGTCAAAAATAAAAAAAAACAAAGAAAGAAAGAAAGAAAGAACGAACATAGAAAAAGAAGAGGAGGAGGAATAGACAAGGTTTCAACTGAAAAAAGAACAAAGAATTAAATGAAAATAAATGAGGCTTAAGCTGCGTAAAAGGGGGGGGGGAGTATATTTTGAAAAAAGAAGAAAAAATTAGCTTAATGGCATTAAAAAATATAATTCTCATAAATTATGGATGAAATTTTTAAATTTTTAAAACATGGCTCATTATAAAATTAATTTTACTTTTTTATCTTCAGATTAAATTTATTATTGAAACACAATGTATCTAATATAACTAATCCTTAACTGACTGAATCTTTTCTTTTTTTTTCTCTAAATCATTCCTTTTTTTCCTCTAAATATAAAATTGCCAGTGCTTTTCTTCATCGCAAAGCTTTGTTATCTCTCTCTATTTTTCCTAGGAACACTATAAAGAAGACATTAGATATTGAGAGGAATCTTTATTTCTAAAAGCAGAAGACTAGGTTAGAATCTATTATCTATCATCAGATTTTTACTATCTTCACATCTCTTTAATTTATTTTGAACAAATGATTATGTATTTTTCGTGTTATTATAATGATAATATATTTGAATAGTCTTGCCAAAATTATTCCATGTGCGTGTGCGTGTGCGTGTTTGTGTGTGTGTGTGTCCCTGATTGTTTAGTTATGTTGATCAACGATAATATTTGAATAGTCTTGCCAAAATTATTCCAGTTAATTGAGATGACGGAAGTCTGGTGCTAAAATAGAGAAGCTAAGCTTCTGGTATGGCCATCAAGACGCTGTAGAATGGAAAAAAAAAAAAAAAAAAAACTGATTAGAAAGCCAAGGTCTTATAACACAGTATATATCTTGCAGATTCAATTAAAAAAATGAATTTGATAAGTTTTTCTATAATTAATAGCTTAACATAGAAGAAGAAGAAGTTTTATGAAGTAATAGGAGATATAGTAGAGAATAAAAGAGGTTCACACAGCTTGAATAGAATGAAAGAGGGAGAGATCTTCAGAACAAACCTCTGGACGCAGAAGAAGTGGGTAGTGGCAATCTAATGGAAGATGCATGAAATGAACAAACAGGCTATGGAAGGTGTTGATATCTAAAACAAGCAGCTCAGAATGAAGAAGTGATTGAAGAAAGTACCAAATCTCGTACCATAGGGAATTAAAATTGGCGCATGCGGCTGCGATCAAAACAGGGAGGGATCTTCAATGATGATACCAAGTTTTTTTTTTTTTTCTGGGGATGACGATGGAGGGGTCCGACAGGAGGAATTAAGTTAGAACATTTGATTTCGCCCTGTAGCCCGAAAGAGACCGAGGCAGAGAAGGCGAGGCCTAAAAACCGCACGAGAGAGACTGGGAAGCCCAATGCAAGCCCAGGAAGCTATCCCTATTCACTCCACAAGAATATGATTAAGAAGACTTCTTTAATTATCATAGGAAATCCAGATATTACAATACAAATTAACACGATTTATCATGCATTTGAATATACTCCCAAATAAACCATCTGCAAACATGAACAGTGCATATTCTACCATTTTTATATTATGTTTTTGTTTGATTGATATTGATGATTGGTGAATATACTTAATTGAATCGGTAATGTAGTATATCTTATAAAGTGAATAAAAATAAAAAAGGAAAACAATTTTATAAATGTTATCAAATATATTTCTTGATTTGTTGAAAGAAATTATTAAATTTCACAATTATCAATCAAAATTATATATATTCAAATAAAACAACTATAGCTGTGTAATTATTTTGAGTTGAGATAATATGAACATAATAGGATCACAATAGTTCATGGGTTTATGAACATCATAGAATCTATAGAAGCAAACAAAATTGTTGCCTCAGACTAAAATGATCATACATAAAATTTCTAAAAATGATGAAAAAGAAGAGAAAGTTAGACCAGCTGGTATATAATTAGCTAAAATGAAAACAGTACTCAAGAGGATAATATGAGTTCAATTTATTCATATAATAATTATTTGAACATCTGTGTGTAGTTATTACAAACAGCAGCAATGCTAGACTGAAAATTATTCAAAGTAGTCTTAACAATTGGAAAAAGCTTGAAGCCTTGTACTTGATCTTGATCATGCCTTCTGGAACTTGACTTTGTAAGGAGCATCAGTGAGTGCCACGCGGTTGTTACCTTTCTCATCTACAAAAACTCCGACATTTTTGCACAGACGTCTGCAAGATTTGCACCCACTTGGACAATAAACAAGCTTATAATCTCCTCCATACTCTTCAATCTTCCATCCTGGTTCCCCCAGAATGCCACCAGTTGTCACGAACCAATGATTTGATGAAGCATCAAACCGATCAAGCTTCCACACTGTGGACTGAGGACACTTATTGTACCCAGAGAACTGAATGTTTAGATCACTATAGACAGGAATCACGCCCTTCTTGGGGTTCAAAGGTGTGAATGTGACTGGTAAGGCACGATATCTATCCCCCACCACCACATCAAGCGGGCAATATTTTCCGATGCCGGCGAGTGAGAAGCCGGCATCGCGACTCCAACATCGGCCATGAGGTGCACATTTGATAATGGGAGCAAACAGGAAGAATGTAGTAATTGGAGCCAGCTCGGAGAACCTTGCCTGTTGTGTCAACCACTTGCCTTGGGGAAGCATCATCAGCTGCTACAAGCAGTGATTGAAGGCCCATGCTCAAGGCATAGAGCAGCACAAATAATGCGACAAGTGAAGTTTTCATTGTTCTCTTGCAAATTAAACCTTTGGGTTTATGATTTTGTGGAAGTGATGGAGATTAGAAGCGTGAATTTATAGTGCTTGTTCGGATCCAATCTGTGGATTCTTGGTGTAAGTTTCAATTAATGTCTCGGATAGACTGATTTACATACAAGGGGCATTTGATTAATATACAGATACATGGATATTAGAGTTCCAATATTCATAATTCTCTTGTAAAATTGTTCTCAAGACCGTAGTAGTACGGATCTTGCATGAATTTTCAACAACTGGCAATGTAGTCTCCTGTTTTGTTATTATTCATGAGTTCAGCTGTATTATAGAAGTCATTCTAATTAGGACAGTTATGAAGATTTTTTTTTTTAATTTGGCCAAAACTGTTATAATATTGGAATATATAATATAGCGTGGAAAATGTAGTAATTTATTTTTAGTGTCGTCATAGTTTGGAGGGAGTTTGTTTAATGAACATTTCAATAGGCTAGGCTAAATGTATGGTACTCTTCTTATTTGTCACCTAATCAGAGTAATGCTTCATATAATTAACGAAATAGCTTATAATTTATAGTATTTATTTGATAGTACTACATTTTTATTAACATTTGATGAATATTATTGTCTTTTTATTGAAGCTATAATTTGTGTTGAAATGTTCATTAAACTTACTCCTCCAAACTCTAACAATCAAAGAAAATATTAACTAATTATTATATTGCCCAGACTGCTAGATATATTTTAATCTTGACAAAATAAAAATTTTATAAAAATGAATTGTATAATCCAGATGGACACGTGAATAATCAAAAACCAGGTGGCTGCCTGTCGAAAACATATATTAGTGCCGTACAATACAGTGTCGGGAGAATTCATACACAAACCATACTACTTCAGGACTTTCGTAATTTTTATTTTTCTAATGCATATGGACTCAATAATTAATAATGGGACCCTAATATTTAATACATTTAACAAATGCCCACTGAATGCGATTTAATCTACCGTAGACTGGGGGAATAAAAAAAGTACAGAAGGATCCATAGATTAGAACCAAAGTAGTAACACTATAAATCTACGCTCTTGATCTCTATTATTAGCATCCATCACAAGTTCAAATACGAAAGCGTACAGAGAAATGAAAACCCTAATGTTAGCATTCGTGCTGCTCTATACATTGAGCATAAGCATTCAACCACTACTTGTAGCAGCTGATTCTTCACCTAAGGAAGTGGTTGACACATCCGGCAAGATTCTCCGAGCTGGAACCAATTACTACATCCTTCCTGCTGTTCCTATTACCAGATGCAGAGTACCCAATGGCCGGTGCCGGATTCAACAAGCCGGCTTCTCGCTCGCCAGCGTCGGCGAATATTGCCCACTTGATGTGGTGGTGGTAGAGAGATATCAAGCCCAGCCAGTCACGTTTACACCTATCAACCCTAAGAAAGGTGTGATTCGTATCTCTACCGATCTAAACATTCAGTTCTGTGGGTACAGTAAGTGTCCTCAGTCCACAGTGTGGAAGCTTGACCGCTTTGATTATTCATCGAAGCAATGGTTTGTGACGACTGGTGGCATTGTGGGGAAGCCAGGATGGGAAACTATTAACAATTGGTTCAAGATCGAAGAGTGTGATGGAGATTATAAGCTTGTTTATTGCCCAAGTGTGTGCAAATCTTGCAAGCATTTGTGCAGAAACGTTGGAATGTTTGTGGATCAGAATGGTAACAGACGTGTGGCACTCACTGATGCTCCTTACAAAGTCAAGTTCCAGAAGGCTTGATCAAGTGCAAGCTTCAAGCTTCCTCTACGAATAAGTGTAGTATATATGAAGTAATACAGACATACTGTACTTACTGGTTACCACTACACAAATGTTCCAATAATCATGTGAATAAAACTATAATAATATTATCCTCGTGTTTTATTTCAAATTTGCCATGGTTTTTCTTCCCTTTTTTTTCATATTTACAGTATAGTTATGGTCATGTTATTTAATTTTGTCTGACATAACAACTTTCCTTATACAGGAATGAAAGTGAGAGTTAATTTTTTGATAAAGGGAACTTATAGTACCTATAGATATTATTTTACTGGAGGCAATTTTATTTAAAACATTATCAACAGGTATTAAATATGGGCATTTTTCCAAACAAAAATTTAAATTTTGATTTGTTATATTATGAAAGACTAGTTCTTTTTACTAACCCCAATGCTTATTCATAAACATTCAAATATACATATATATTATCATCATGTGTGTTCATTTGGACTTACAAATGGTTTTTCTTTTCTTTTTATAAATTACAGAAAGTTTATATCAACATTACTTTATTTATGTTATATATTAAAAATTGTAGACGTACATCTTAGTTTGTTACATATTTAAGCTCTTAAATTTTTCACTTTTATGAATGCTTCTAATACTGATTCTACAAGCCACGAAGAAGTGTGGTACCAAAAAAACCATTAAAAAAGTAGCAAATTGTTATTTTCCATGGATTGAGCTAGCACAGGAAAAGAAAGTTTTAATTTGATTTTTCATTTTTATAAAATAGATTTTCATTCCTCTAATTCTAACATCTTTTGTTTCAAACAATTATTTTTTTCCAATCATTGTTTTTTTAAAAAAATAAATTTAATATGTTAACATTTTAGAATATTTTGTTAATATTTAAAAATTTAATATAATTTTTTATGAAAATAATGATATTAAGGTTAAAAAAATTAAAAAATACTTTATAAAATTGAAAATTAAAATAAAATTATATATATAATTAATGAATTAAAAGCATATTTTAGATAAAGAAGACTCTGATCTCCATTTGATAGTTTGTTACATTATCTGTAAATAGGGTTGATTAATGCTTCGGTATGTCACATCGTCATCTCTAATCTCTTATTTTAATAATTCCTCCAGTATTGATAATTTCAAATGATTTACTCCTCTGGTCCTAGTTTTTCTTATTTTGTTTTGGCTTATAAAAAGAGTTGATTTTATCAATCATAAAAAGAAGTTCAGTACACATAATCGAACCCAACAAATACTTTAAAAAAATATATATAATGTAACACACAACTTACCCGATTAAAAAAATGGAAAAGAGAAGCAATAAACTAAGTCAATAACAAAAAACCAAAACAGTAAACAAGAAAATTCAACCACAAATTAACCAATGTCCTGTTTATTCTGAGGAGAGCTAATATGAATAGATTCAGAACAACTACCAACCTACAAATCGGCAGCCAAAAACCCGAACAAAGAAAATATAGCAACTTCATTACTTTGGCAAGTCATCAAGGAAAACTTAACATCCTTGCATGATTCTTTGCTAGATAATTTATCCTGCACAATCTCAAAACAATGCCAATCATAATCAATACTTATCTGATCCTATTTATAAATTATTTTTAACATATTTTACCAAAATTAAGTCAAACTTTAAAACTCCTTAATTTTATTTAAAAATTTAAAAAGTTTTTAACTTTATTCCTATTAAAATATATAATCTTTAATAATATATTTTCTCTTTTCAACATTCAATCAAAAATAAAAAAAATAATTTGTGAGAAAAATTTAATGGTGTAATATATAAATAGGACAAAAAAAATTGTCTTTCTACCTATAAATAAAATCAAAGAAGTATATTATTAACATACATAATCATATTTGACCAAACCGTAGTGGTTAACTAATGTCTTGATTTTAAAGATTCTTATCAGTGATATGAAAAGAATTCTATTGACGTGGTGTTTAATATTTAAGAAGTTTAAAGCAGAGTATTTTATTATGTTCACTCAACCAAAGAAAAGACCTGCAGTTATCCCTGTTGATTAAGACATTAATTAAGGGAAAGCCCAAAGCCCAATACAAATCTTATCCCCTTAAAATAGAAAGCCCAAATCAAGGGTGGAGACCGGGGGACTAATAAGGGTCACGGCCTCTCCTAACTTTTTTTTTTTTTAGTAAAATATAGGGATTATATATTTTTAACCTCCTAAGTTAGCACATTATAAAAGTATTGAGACACTAGATGAAATTTTTATTTCAATTCTATAGTAATATTTTATGTATATATAGTTCAACTGTTGTAGTAACTTCAAGATATAGTTATCATAGAATCAACTTATTTTCAAGAAGATAACATTATAGTTGCTTTAAAAGTATTGATATCATTTAATTTTACTTTTATTTTATATTTGATGAAAGAAATTATAATAATTATTACTAATAAACTTTATAAAGTATTGGAACAAAAACCCCCAAGATATATTAAGTGAAGAATATATCAATTGAAAGAATTAAATAACAAACTCAATAAGCAAGTAATAAAGTTTTTTCATATTGAATAGAACTTTAGATAACAAGGATGCATTTAAATTATTTAATGCTTATGAAAAAAATAAAATATTTGCCAATGTAATGATAGTTTATATTAAGAAGAAATTTTTTAAAATTATTGTAAACATGATAATTAATTATTCTTATATCATGAAGAATTAATGAGAAAAACTTAAAAATAAAGGCATATATTTATTTTTGTTATATATATATATATGTATGTATGTATGTATGTATGTATGTATGTATGTATGTAAAATTGAATGTAAATATATTTATGTTATGTTATGTCAGTAATACATGCATATTTTTTTATTATTATACATGCTTTGTTATTTCAATTCTCCCTAACAAAATTGTTTGGCTCCGCCCTGGCCCAAGTTGTTATCCTCTCATGTTTGTAATATTTCTAATGTACACATTTGTTATATCCACTTATTTCTTTTAGAAAAATAACAATTAAGGATCTCATAAAAATATTAATAACAATGAAAAATCTTGAATTATTAAAATTTCAATAACAAACCATCGTTCTCACTTGTAATTAAAAAAATATGAACAGTCAGCTGAAAAATCAACAAAATATACTTAAAATTATTTGTAATGTCAGACTGTCAATTGGAGAATTTATGAAAGTTGTAAATATCAATTTTTTGTTATCAATAAGCACAATGATATTGAACAATTCATATAACACCCACTTAATAAAATAGGGCTTGTTGGTGTTGTGTACAAATAAACCATTTGAAAATCAAGAAAATACACTTAAGATTATTTGTAATATTAGTTAAAAATTTACATTGTGAATCATAAACCTATCACTTGTAATTTTTTTACTATTAATATATAAATAAATCATTTAAAAAAATCTACAAATACACTTAAAATTATTTATAACGTCAATTAAAAATTTAATAAAGTTAATTATAAATTGCAAACCAATCACATGATTTTTTTTTTTATCGTTTAAGAAATCAACAAAAGATATTTGAAAACCTCAAACTAATCAATAAAAGATATTTTTTTATAAATAAAAACTATGATCTCTTGTTTGTGCCCAAAAAAAAAAAGACCATGGTCTCTTGTTCGTATTTCAATGATTTAAAATTAATAGTTATTATTAGTGTTTTTATGGGCCCTTAATTGTCATTTTTTAATTTTTTTGATAACATTATATCCACTCATTCTTTATATGTGGAACATAACCTATGGCATTGTGCCCTACCTATTTATGCCTCATTGGTACGACGAAAATAATTTTAATAGAAATAAAAATAGAGATAGAGATGGAAATGGATATGGGGTTTAAAGATATATTTGGTATGTTTATGAAATCCTGATAAAATTTTTATCAAAAATATATATTCATAATATTAAAAGACCAAAATACTCTCACTAAAAAAAACCCTATACCAACATAGCCACCTTTCTCCACATTACTACTAAAAGAACCACCACCAAAGAACAATCAACGATCAACAATCCAGATTCAATCATCAACAATCAACAAAAACTAGCATTTAAACAACAAATTTATATTCAAGAAATTGAAGATAAAGTTTGAGAGGGAAAGGGAGATCCAAATTCAACACTTTTGCTCTACAACAATCAAGAAATCAAAGGCAAAGAATGAGAGGAGAGGAAGATCGCGAGGGAGATGAAGATCCAAATTTAACCCAGATCAAAGCATCTCAACCTCTCTTTTGTTCTAAGTCTTAGTTTCAGCAAATCGAAGGTTGGGTTTGAAGTCACCTTTAAGTTTTAGCTGTAAAATCAAAGGTTGCTGTTATTGGAAGAGGACCAGTCATCGTCAATTTTTGCCATTAATGGAGCTTGCTACCACCGGAGGTCGCTATCTCAAAGCTAGAAGTCACTGTTGACAAAGTTCAAGGTCGTTGACTAGTTGCTAGGGGTTGAGAAATCGATGGAAGGTTGAGTAGGGGGAAGAGAGAGAGAGAGAGAGAGAGAGAGGAAGGGGAAAAAAAGAAAAAAGGATGATGAAATTTCAAAATTGAATTTTTTGATGAAATTCAATTCCACCAATTTAAGTGGAATTGCTTTCCATATGGAATTAATTTTTGCCATATCAAACTATCTTTTTTTTGAATTCCATTTTCATTTTCAATTCCAAAGGCACAACTCCAACATATCAAACAGGACTTTAAGGAAATGTAATAGTATAACCTTCATTTGAGCAAGAAGAAAATAAGATGGATAAAAAAGTAGAAGAGAGAACTTTTAAAATAGCATAAAAAAAAACTATTTTAGAAATTTATGTTTTGAGTTTTTACTCTTCCCTAGTTTCTCTCACTTTTCTCTTTAACCAAATCAAGCCTAAAGCATCGTTAATATTTATCATCACTCTTTGAATTTTATCATAGTATCGAAGGTGCAACCAGGTCTGATGAAATGGTCAGGTCTTAAAATATGCCACCAAGCATACCTTCAATTGATTCAAGCTCGTCCTCTTCGTTGGCTGCCACAAACTTTCCGAAAGCTTTAGGGGCGGCGAACTATCTTACCAACCGTGTTCAGTCAAACTGGATTGAACTAACTTTCCAGTTTGCAAATGATCATCTTGCCTATCATCGAGGATTCATGTGGGAAGCATTTCTAAATGGACCAAACCATGCCTAACGCAATGGATCATGCAGAATAATGTAGCCAAGCTAAACATTAAAGGGCCATCCCTTGAAAAGTTGGGCATGAAATATAATATCTCAATTTAAATTTTAAGAATCAATTAAAATTAATAGGAAATTCTTACACAAATTTCTTTGAATATCTATCTATATGTAGTGTGGGAAAACAATAATAATAGACATGGCACAAACTATTATTTAAAAAAAAAACAGAAAAAAGAAAAACCCATACTTCACAGTTTTTTTTTTTTAAGTTTTATTTGATGCTTTTTAAGCTTCAAGTATCCAGATTTCATATTTAAAAAAAAAAAAAAACCTTACTTGCTAGTTCAAGTATGTTTTATGGTTATTTAAAGATAAACATCAAATATAAGTTATCATATTTTGTTTTTACTTTTTCTATTGTTCATTTGACATTTATTTTAAAATAACCATAAAAAAATGCCTTTATTTTTAAGTACACGGAAGACAAATGAATAAAGCAAAATATAGAATAAAAAATATTTAAAGACCAAAGATGATCTTCATGCACCCATTTAAAAAAAAAAGTAATAAGAGGTAAAAACTATTAAGTAACTATTATAAAATACAATAGACATTTCAAATCAAAAAAGGAAATCTCTTTCTATCCTTCCTATATTCACAAGTCACAACACATTCATCATGTAGTCTAGAATTAAATCATTGAAGTGAGAATTTTTTACTAGTACATCACCGCTCTTGAACAAAAGGATACTCTTATATTATATTTATATTAGATTTATAAGCCACATACAACATTTTTTTCTAGAATCAAGAAAAATCTTAAACTTCATTAATTGTCTAAAAATTCAACAAGTTTTCAACTTTATCCTTATTAAATATACATGCTTCAAAAATACAGTACTCAAGCATTTAATAACTTTTCCAACATTTAATAGAAACAAAAGGATAAAAATTTACATGATAATCATCAAAGTACCTTATAAATATGATCACAACAAATACTCTCTATCTCTCTACCATATAAATATGACTAAGAGAGTATCTCCAATGCCTTACCATCACCACTTAGAAAAAGGGTAAGCACTGTGGCTATAAGGAAGAATCCAGAACCTTCAGTTTGACTTTGGCTGAATCAATTTCTTCTGCAGCCCAACAAAGGTTTAGAGAGAGAACATTATCAGGGCTTTTTTGGCAACTTAAAGACATTTGGTTTTGTTTAAGAAAATAACAGTCAAATGGTAAGGACTTCTTACTCTGCTCCATTGCTGTTGCTTTTTCAATAGTTGTGCGGAAAAACAAGTTGCCATTTCTCTGGTAGACAGCCTACATTAAGAAAAATGAAGTCCAAAAGTTCTTTATATCTTCTCAAACCCACTCACTTACCATAAAGTGCATGTTTCCGTGACATGAGGGGGAGAGAGAAGAAGCAGAAGAGAAAGTAATAACTAATAAGAAGAGACTGTGGAACAAAACAACTATCTTATTCATCACAGGTAAGAAGTGACCAACAGAAAAACAGACAAAGAAAGTGACAGGCCATCTTTATGATATGGGAATTAAGGTCACTTTGGTTTACTAAAAAGGAATGAATGGAATAGATTAAAAAAATAAAAGTAAAAATGAGATGATTAAAAGGAATAGTGAGCCACATTCATAAAAGAAGAGGACAATTTAGTTCATGGGATTGAGAATCATAATTTTTGAAATTTTGGAAAGTGTGATGATTTTCATATTTATAGTAAATATTAATGAATTTTATCATCCTTACCATGAGGAGAAAGGATGATTTAGTTCATTTTTGTGTTGATTTTTTCAATCCATTCTATTTCATTTCTTTCTAATAACCAAACATGACGTAAATTGACAATAGTTACCTATATTCTGCATCTTGTCATCATCTTGTCCTGATTAAATAGGCTTTTCCGGTAAGCAATAAGGCTTCATTGGTAAGTGCTACAAGATTCAACCCTCTTAAATACACATACAAGTGGACGCATGCTCATACACAATCACTAGTAAATAATCATGTGAGAAGAGTCGAAGAACCAAATTACATCTAATGTTCAGTTATGACTCAAACAAGAAGTCAAGAACTTCATTTCCCGTTTACTTTCATCATCTTTTGAGCTTGCAACAAAGCTACAGGGACTGGCCCAATTTGACAGACTACGTGTTTGACTTCTACAAAAGACAAACACGGATGAGAGTTTTAGAATTGAGAAATAAATAACTAAACCACCTCGAAGTATAGCCTGCGACTGAAAGATAAATTAACCTTATTGCTAAATATAGGCATATTTCACGAGCACTAAAACTTCAAAAACTCCAAGTCAACAGTACCATGTGCCTAAATAACCTAAGTAACCTTGTATAAGACAACACAAGAAATTCAGGGAAACAGAAAGTTTTGTAGTGTCCACATCCCTTAATATCTTCAGTAGCTTAACCAATAATAAATTTTTTAATAAAGGAAGGGCATCTTGGCAATTGACCAATAAATATTGCAATTTAGTCCCTGGGTCTTTTCATATTTCAGAATCATTTGGTCCTTTTATGCAATTATGTTCTTTATGGGGTCCTTCAATGATATTCTCTCATAAAATTGTCCTAAAAAGTTCTTTCCCCTGATCTCATGTGGGAATGTCATTGACATGAGTTACAAGTAGATAAAAATTATCTCTTCAGCCATAGTTATATATATATCCTCTCCTGTCATCTTGTTCTGATTTAAAGATTTCTTTGTTAGCATGCAGTATGGCCCCATTGGTAATTGCTACAAGATCCAATCCTCTAAAATACATACGCACAAGCGCACAACAGACACCATCATCAGAAAATAGTCATGTGAGAAGGGTTGAAGAACATGTAATGTTCAGTTATGACACAAACAAGAACTTCATTTCTCTTTCACTTTCATCATCTTTTGAGGTTGCAGCAAAGCGACAGGGACTTGCCCTATTTGACAGACTACATTTTGGCTTCTAGATATGGCAAACAAGGGCGAGAGCTCTAGAATTGACAAAGAAATAAATGAATATACCCCAGGCCTACACTACTGCTGAAAGATAAAATTACCTAACTACTGGATATAGGCATATTTCACAAGCACTGAAAGCTTCAAAAGGTCTGAGTCAGTAGCAGTGTCCAATACAAATCTATACTCCCCCTCAGTGATGGGGGATCAGTCTCTCAAACAACATAGCATCCATAATTTTCGCCATCATCACAAGAACACTCAAATTTAGGACAAAGGGAGGAAAAAAAGGAAAGAAGGAAAAGATGTAGGAAAACTGAGACACAGCTCACCTAGACATCCCCTATTACTTCACAAAGTTTGAGGAATATAGTGGCAATATCATTTTCTCTAAACTGAAATTTTCTGTTTCCAACTCAGCATTACATGATTAAATGATGAAAGCACCATAAATGTCCGCTCTTTCCAGCATTATATAAAATGCCTTGACAGTGGATTTGCAGTACTCATTATGGGGACAAAATTGTATATTACCAATAATCCCCACAAGAACAAGTGCCATCCTTGAAGTGATGAAAGCGGCTGGAATCTCTTACTATGATCTCACGATCAACAATCTTTGCTATTAGCTTTATTGCATTATGACAATCCCCACATGTGCGAAGATTTTTCATCACTGTTATTGTACTGCCTTCCATAGTGTTAAGCAGCCCAAATGCGATTGCAAGCCTTTCACTATGATAAGACAACATCTCTTCCCTCTGTTCAGTTTCAACATCATGTAAAGCAAATTGTTGATCAGGAACATAACCTAATTCCTTTAGCTTTACCCCTAACCAGTCTAGCTTTTGGTAAATTTTCTCACTAAGAGGGTGGGACCTATCTCCAGTAAGAAATTCATGCCTCCAACCTTTCAGTGATACCCAGCTGGACCCTGGTTGTTTTGAAACTCCTTTATGTTTCATCATTTTCCGTATCCTAGCTACTTCGCTCCATCTGCTTGCAGAAGCATACAAATTAGATAATAAAACATAAGCTGCACTAGAATCAGGTTCCAGTTCAAAAATTTCTTTTGCAGCCCGCTCAGCTACATCCAAATTAGAATGCATCCTGCAAGCACCCAGTAAAACCAGCCATACCATGGAATTTGCTTTCATAGGTAGGCTTCTTGCTAGTGCTTCTGCTTCATCCAACTCCCCACAACGGCCAAGTACATCCACCATACATGTGTAGTGCTCGACTGTCAGCTCACTTAATTTCTGCTCAAAATATTTGAAAAAGCACCTTGCCTTTTGCAACATCCCTGAGTGACTACATGCTGAAAGTAAACCAGTTAGTGTGATTTCATCTGGATCTACTCTTTCACATAGCATTTGCTTGAAGACTATTAAAGCCCACATGCCACACCCATGCTGTGCACAGCCTACAATGGCTGAGTTCCATGACACAATATTTTTCTCACTAATCTTCTTAAATGCAATTATCCCATCATTGATATATCCACATTTGCTATACATGACAACAAGAGAGTTACCCACATATGTGTTAGTCACCAAACCTAGTTTAGTTGCTATCACATGGATCTCCCTCCCCTTTTCCATATCCTCCAATCCACAACATGAATTCAAAGCACTTGTTAGAGAAAATTCATTTGGAAAGACAGTCTGTTTCATCATTTCTCTGAAGACCTTAATTGCATGTTCATGCTCATTGTTCAAAGCATATCCTGATAAAAGAGCAGTCCATACAACAACATTCTCATGCAATATATCATGAAAAACCTTGTGAGCCACCTTCATTTGCTTGCAATTTGCATAAAATGTCACAAGTGAAGCGTATACATATTCATCAAGGCAATAGCCTAGCTTAAATATATGACATTGAATCTGAAGCCCTGCATGCAAAGCTGATATCTTAGAAGCAGCACTCAACCCACAAACTAAAGTAGTAGACGTGGGATGCATGCCCAAACTGACCATCTTCTGATAAAGAAGCAAAGCTTCATCACTCTTTCCATTCTGGTCAAGCCCACTAATCATTGAAGTCCAAGAAATCACATTGCGGGTAGGCATGCCCTCAAATAGAAGCAATGCCTCTTCAATTCTGCCATTGCAGCAATACCCATGAATCATTGCATTCCACGTTGCTACATCCCTATAAGGCATTTTATGGAAAAATCTTTCAGCGTCCTTAACTCTTCCCAACTGCAAAAGCCCATTCATAATGGTGGTCCAGGAGATAACATTCTTCTTAGGCATTTCATCAAAAAGTTTCTTGGCCATAATGAAATCTCCACAATCCAAACACCCTTTGATCATTGAATTCCAGGAAACCACATCCCTATAGGGCATTTCTTCAAAAAGATTCAGAGCCTCACTAAGTCTATGATTTTGTGCATAACCCATCACCATCATAGTATACAGGGCAACACTAGGGGTTGGGATTTTGTCAAAGACAATGCGAGCTTCATCTAAACTCTGATTCTTCAGGTGATGAGAGAGTAAATGCTTATAAGAACTTGATTTGCTGTTACTCGTGACACACTTGAAGCCACTTAAAGAATTTGCTGTGGCTGAAGTGGTACAATTTCTAATAACGGCAAATGAAATTGATGTGGGTATATATATGAACTTTACAAAAGCAGTGCACACTGCTCTCATGGCCATCCATCGCTTTGTCATGACTGTCGTCTAATTCCTAAAATAAACTCTTTGAATTCACTCTGAAATCAAAGAAATTTGAATCCTTCCATACCCAACACTAGACATTCAAATCCTCTGCACGTCAAGGAAGATGTGCAGGGTGTGCATCTCCTGACTTCTAATCTCAGACATTGGTGAATTAACACTCCATATCATGTCATATGACAAACTCATTTCAGAAAACCATTTTTCCCCCATTTTCCTTCTTTTCTCCCATTCTATCCCATCAAAAACACCACACACCTCTAATCCATTGTGTTCTTACACGAAAATTTGAGCTTGCAACAAAGTTATAGCGACTGGCCCAATTTGGCAGACTACATATTTCACTTCTACAAAAGGCAAACAGGGATGAGAGTTCTAGAATTGAGAAAGAAAGAAATTAACCAACTCAAAGTACAGACTGCAACTGAAAGATAAATTAACCTTATTACTAAATACAGGCATATTTCACAAGCACTAAAACTTTGAAAAATTTCCATCAAAAAAAAAAAATGAAAACTCCAAGTCAATAGTTCCATGTACCTAAATAACCTTATATAAGACAGCAAAAGAAATGCAGGGAAACAGAAAGTTTTGTAGTTCCCACCAAATCCCTTAATATCCTCAGTAGTTTAACCAATAATATTTTTTTCGATAATGGAAGGGCATCTTGGTAATTGACCAATAGAACTTAATTACAAGTTAGTCCCTTGGTCCTTTCATGATATTTCAAAATCATTTGATCCTTTCATGCAATTATGTTCCTTATGGTGTCCTTTCATGATATTCTCCCATAAATTTGTCCAAAAAATTTCAATCCCATCACCATTAGTTCATTTCCCTTATCTCATGAGGGAATGCCATTGACATGAGTTAAAAGTAGAAAAAAAATATTTCTTCAACCGTAGTTATCTATATTCCATATCTCGTTATCTTGTTCTGATTAAAATAGATCTTTTTTAGCATGCAATACGGCCCCACTGGTAAGTGCTACAAGATCCAATCCTCTAAAATACATCCACACAACAAAACCGTACGAACATATACCATCATCAGTAAAGAGTCATGTGAGAAGAGTTGAAGAACCAAATTATATGCAATGTTCAGTTATGACACAAAAAAGAAATTCATTTCTCTTACACTTTCATCATCTTTTGAGGTTACAGCAAAGCCACATGGACTGGCCCTATTTAACAGGCTACATTTTGGCTTCTAGAAATGGCAAACAAGGATGAGGGTTCTGAAATTAAGAAAGAAATAAATGAATCTACCCCAGGCCTAGGCTACAGCTGAAAGATAAAATTACCTAACTACTAGGTATGGGCATAGCAAAGATTGCACAATGGCATCGTGCAGTCTATATAACCAACCCATCCAGTGGGATAAGGCTTGTTGTTGTTGTTTTATTGTACTGGATATAGGCATATTTCACAAGAACTGAAAGCTTCAAAAGCTCCAAGTCAGCAGCAGTGTCCATCACAAATCTACACTCCCCCTCAGGGAGGGGGGATCAGTCTCTCAAAAAAGATAGCATCCATTATTTTCTCCATCATCACATGAAGAACACTCAAATTTGGGACAAAGGGAGGAAAAAAAGGAGAGAAAGAAAAGATGCAGGAAAACTGAGACACAGCTTGCCCAGACATGTTTCTCCTGTTACTTCACAAAATTTGAGGAATAAGTCATTTGGTTCATGGCTTACATATGACAACACAGGAAATTCAGGGCAATAAGAAAGTTTCGTAGTTCTCACCACAGCCCTAAATATCTTCAATGGTTTAGCTATATTATGGCATGGCAAGATCCCTGGCTTCAACAATAGATAGAGGCAAGAATATAGTGGCATTATCATTATCATTTTCTGTAAAGTGAAATTTTCTGCTTACAACTCAGCATTATATGATTAAACCTAAACCACCAAAAAGAACTATGCACAAGTTATGCGTAACTGAAAGGAAAAACTGTAAAATTTTACATTCCATGACCTTTCCAAATTGGCTTAAAAGTTAGTTCTTTCAAACTTTACCTAAGCCTGACCCCGTTCAGGTTCCAAATTGATTTAACAGCCAGTTCTTCCATTGGACTCGTAACTATCAAAACTGTAAAAGTTAGTTCTTCATAACTTTACCTTAACCTAACAGCCTAATGTTTGTAATTTCCGTTGGCTAAATCAACTAAATTCTCTGCTTCGGAGCAAAAAATCTAGGAAACGAGTATCAGGAATTGAACAAAGAAAAAGGAAGCGAAAAAAGGAGATACCCTAGAAGATGGAAGACTGTTGAGCTCATCCACGGCGATTTCGTGACTCTTCAGTTCCCTTAAAATACCAACTTTGGGATCAGCAGCGCCCCTCGTTATGTTGGTTGGGCCAGAGAATGAAGGCGCAGCTGAAGGCATTTGCGCCGAGTGATGCAAGAGGGAGACTCCTGGCCTGGGAAGGTTTTATTTAGTTATTTCAGTAGCAGCAGATGCACGAAATGAACAAATATTTCAGTAGCAAATTTCATTTTCAACATATCAGAGAAGCTAAAAAAAGGAGCACGAAATGAACAAAATATTTCAGCAGCAGATTTCATTTACAACTTCAGATAAAATTGAAGACAAATATGATTAAAATAAAGTACACACCTAATCTGAACTCTAGAGATGAAGAAGAACGAAGGCAAAGGAAACGGGGATCTGACTATCTGAGGGCTTGCGTACTAGAATGATGGCAAATGAAGAAAATGAATAAAGCCGGAGCGAATCTCAAATCCGATATGAGTTCGTGGGTTCTCAATCAGATTATGAAGTTTGAACGAAGCATGGGTCTGGCTGGGCGAGTGGGCGAAGAACGACAGGCTATAGACTGAACTGAACGAAGCTTAACTTGGAAAATAAATAAATAAATTTAAAATATAATTAATTACGGTAAGCGTGCAAATTCAAGGGTGACTTCTGACCTGTTTGGATAACCTTTCAAAACACATTCAAATAATATTTAAAATGTACTTTTATTAAATTTAATAAATAGTTGCATATTTTAAATGAATTTTTGTTAGATGGAAACTCAAGACTAAAAGACACATTTTGATGTCCTTTCGAATAGTGCCAAGGAGTACGAGGATGAAAGTCGGTAGGTCATAGTCTATGATAGGGGTGTTCACGGGACAGGACGGGATCGGGACACCCCTGTCCCGTGGCCCGTCCCGAAAAATGATCAGAACTAAAAATTTATCTCGTGTCCCGTCCCGTCCCGGAAGCTGTCTTGTCCCAAAAAGAGTCGGGACGGGACCGGGACGTCCTGGATCAACGAGATTATTACAATCTTTCAACTTATTACTTGACAAGAAAAAGCATCCAGATCTTTTTGTTCACAACTCAACCATATAAATTAAATTTTTTTCGCAACTCAACACCCAGATCTTTTTCTTTGAAAATATTTCTCAACAATGTCCTAATTTTATAGGAGATTTGGAGAGAAAAAAATTACTTCATATTGCTTCCATTTGAACGGCACTTGAATTCTTCCCAAATTCTCGATCACTTCAAATTCCTTCCCTGCAAAATCATATTGAAATAAAAAATTCAGTCTTGCTGTTCACCTGAAGTATTCCTATAATTAATTTATCATTAATTGTAGAATTGAAATTACTGTAAAAACACATTAAAGTTTTGAGAAAGAACCTATTTTTAGCGTGCCCCTGCAATTTATAAGTGGTTCACTGTACTCTTCAGGAAGCTCTTTCACATCATAACCCTAATACTTAAAAATTGCTATGGCAAAGAAAGAAACAAATTAGAGGACAAATTAGAAGACACAAATTGACTGCATGCTTTGCAAGCAAAGCTATACTATGTCAACTATCAAGGTACTAAACCTGCTACTTTTTCTCGACCTTCGTCATGTAATGTAGTCTCAACTAGTGATGCCATCATCTTAAATATCAAAATTTTAGAAATATCAAGATTTTGGAAATACCAAGATTTTGGAAATATCAAGATTTCCTACTAAAGGAAAAAAAGCAGTAACAAAAAATCAAATTAAATCAAGTCTACAAAGAACATTTCAACAGGCAGCAGCAACATTCAAAAGACAAATAACAACAACAATTCAACAAATACAGCTCAACAAAGACAAGTAACTTCTAAGTAATAAGTGCAACAACAAGTCAAGAATCAACAATTTAAGCCCCAAGTACAACTTCAACTTCAACTTCAACTCATTGCTCTTACTCTTCAACTGAGATATTTGAAGCTAATGATTCTTCTGAAAATAAAACAATAAACACAATATAAACAAAAATTATTAAATATATATAAACAAAAAGTTAAATCATATTAAAAGAAATAATCAAATATAAAAAATGATATTACCTTCCACAGCTTGCTCTGTATCATTAAAATTATCAACATCAACACCTTTCAGTTTTGCAGTTGATGGAGATAGCCAGTTTTGGGCACAAATTAGTGCCTCAACCATCTTTGGAGATAGGGAGCTCCTAAAATCATCAATTACACGACCTCCTGTGCTAAATGCAGATTCTGAAGACACAGTGAAAACAGGCATGGCCAATACATCACATGCAATCAATGAAAGGACTTTATATTTAGCCGAATTCAATTTCCACCATGTTAAAATGTCAAAATTTGGATCAAGTGCTTCAGCTAACTCTTCGTGCAAATACTTGTCCACCTCTGCGTACTTATCTGCTTGAACCTCAATCTCTTTTGGGCAAGAAACCTTTGAAATGAAGCCCTAGACCTAGAACTTAAGAAAGTTAAAGGCCTACGATCTGATCCAAGTGATTGAGTCAAACTACTTTTACTTGCTCCTTGTGTCTGACTTTAACTCTGACTTTGAGTCTGAGATGTGTCAACCCCACTTGAATAATGATCATATAAACGATACAAGACATCTGAGACTTTTTTTGTCATAGCTTCACGTTGTGTAGTCTCAGGAAACATATCCTCAAAAGCAAACTGCAAATATTTCATTTTATACCTTAGGTCAAGTACCACTGCTACCACAAGCAAAAGATTAAGTTTCTCTAAGTTCCCCCAATACTTATTATACTTGGTCAACATGCTCTTAGCCATATCACAAAGCAAGGAATCATGATTGTTTGCATTTTCATATAAAATTTCAAAGACATCAACTATCTGTTGAAAGCAAACATTTGAGGTCACATAAAGTGATCCTGAAAATTGCAAAGTAATATCATAGAACACCTTCAAAAAGATCACAAAATCTTTTGCATCCTTCCAATCATTTTCATTAGGGGGACCAATTAAATTTTTATCCAAGAAGAAGTTTCTTTAATCATTATCTTGCTGCTCCATCCTCTCAAAAACGCTGCAAAATTTAATTGCACTCTCTAACATGATGTAAGTTGAATTCCATCTAGTTGGACAATCCATGCTTAGTAGCCTCTTTGAATCAATTTTCATTTTTTCCACAAGCTCCTTAAATTTATGAAACCTTGATGGAGAAGATCTCACATATTTAATGGCATTTCGAATGCCTTCAATACACTTGTGCATATCCTTCACACCATCAGAAACAATCAAATTTAAGATATGCGCACAACAACGCAAGTGCAAGAACTCCCCATCACAAACTAAACCATTCCAATACCTCAAGACCCCCTTTAAAGATGCCAAAGCAGTGTCATTAGAAGAAGCATTATCAACTGTGATTGTAAACACCTTATCAATGCTCCAAAACAGCAAGCATTTCTCAATTTCTTGAGCAATTGTTTCTCCCTTATGATTTTCAACTACACAAAAATTCAAGATTTGCTTTTGATATGTCCAATGCTCATCAACCCAGTGAGCAGTTAAGCACATATAATTGGCATTTTGATTAGAAGTCCAAGTATCAGTAGTGAGTGAAATATGGATTTGAGATTTTTTAAAATACCTTTTCAACTTTCTAGCTTCTTCAAGGTACAACTTGTAGCAATCTCTAGTAACTGTCGCTCTTGAAGGGACTTGAAAGCGAGGTTCTAACCTTCTCATCATCTCTTTAAAACTATCACCTTCCATAACATTAAAAGGCATCTCATCCAATATCACAAATATAGCAATGGCTTGTCTGCAATCAAGTTGATTAAATAGATGATGACTCAAAGTTTTAGATGACCCTAATTGAGAGCCCGATAGCAAAGATTGTGCCAACTTGTTTGCTTTGTTCGGATTTCTGGGACATCTTTTTACATGTTTTCTCATTCCATTTGTACCATGTCTTGTAGAGTCACAACCAATTGTTGTTGGGCAATACTTGCACTTAGCACGGGGTTCTCCATTAGTTTTGTCCAATGGCAACCTTTCAAAATGCACCCAAGCAGCTGATTTATGTCTCTTTCTTCCACTGTCTCCTTCATTCTTTGACTCACTTCCCTCATTTTCCTCTTCAGTATCAGGTGATAAAGCATTTTCAGGATCTCCTTCTATTGTTTTAACATTTTCTTGAAGGGTGGGTGTAGTGGCCATTTTTCTTTGCAATGTAGATTTAGCCAATAACAGCAGCAACAACAACCCTTAACTGATTAAAACCTCATATTAAATATTCAAATAGATTTGAAAGAGACCAGTCTGACATAGTAAGCACGATAAATCATCAAAACTTTCAACAAATTGGTAGAGAGATATAATCCATTAAATCTCACAGCAGACAAAAAAAAAAGTAAGCAATTAATATATTGTTGCAGCACTATTTTCAGCAAGCATAACAAAAGCAGAATTAAAATATCACCTTCCTTGAAATCTCATGTCCTTTTCATTGAGATTAACCTTTGTTAATTAAAAAAATATTTTAAAAACTGAAAAGTCATACAAGTAACTATTTAAACCACTAAGAGGTGCCATTTTCATACTGCTCAAACATATCAATCTCAAGTTCTCAACCATAAAGGAAGCCCAATTTCCTTTACCCTCTTTAAACATCCAACTGCACAATAGAAGTGAAATTTCCTCCCCTCACCCACAACATTACGGTGTTCCAAGAACAATAAAGAACAAATGAGTCTCACAATCAGATGCAATGCCATATCTAGAAGAGAATTACGAATCCTTACCTCCAACTAATCACGATGAAGCAAGTAGAAAAATTTGGAACTCCCTCAAACAGAACAGCGTCGAAAAGCAGGGGAAGGAGACAATGGTGAAGTGTAGCATCAAAGGAATGAGTTGGGTGTTTGATGGAGACTCCTACGTCTTTGAAAGACGGTGATTCATTTCATGGGAGGAAGAGATTACCGGCGCACCCTTGTAGCTGCTCAAACGGAGGAGAAAGATGAAACTTCAGCAATGTGAGGCAGGGAAGGACCAAAACCACGAACTTGACGGTGCAGCTGACGGAAATATGAGGCAACGCTGGGAGCCTGGGACGGAGATTTGGGTAGAGATCTGGGTTGAGGCAACAAATACCTTGCATTACAGCTCGAGACGGAGGCGTGGAGGTGGAGATAAAGGTGTGGTCCAGGTCGCGAAGGCAGAGGCGTCAGCTCTAGTCTTTGTGTGTCGAAACTCGAGTAGAAAGATGATGTAACCGAAGGACCGAAGGTCTGCTACTCTGCTTTGTCTCTGTGGCTGGGCGACTGATCTGCGGCGGAAGGATCTTTGGAGTTGGAGTTGGAGGCTTGGAGCTTTGGAATGAAAGGGAAAGATGGAAACCGAACTGAGCTTTGGAATGGCGGAGGCGGAGGGATCTGGATTTGGATCTGGAAAGTGGAAACTGGAAAGGGAAAAGGAACTTCAAAAATCAAAAATGGTCTCTCTGCTGCCGTGCGCTCGTGCCGCGTGTCTGTCTCAGAAAAGCTAAAAATAATATTAAAAATCAAATAATCAATTTAATTAAAATAAATAAATAATAGTTAAATTTAAAAATATATACATTTATATATACTGAATAAACGGGCCGTGTCTCGTCCCGTCCCGTCCCTATTTTGTCCCTATCCCAAAAAAGTCCCGTCCCGAATTTTTTCGGGCCGAGATAGACCCGTCCCAATATGATCGGGACGAGCACAGGCCGGTACGGGTCAGTCGGGCCGGGTACATCTTGAACACTCCTAGTCTATGATGCACAAAGAAGACGAAATTGAGGATAAGTGAATGGACAAGAAGATGAGGCCAAATATGGTGGAATCACAGAGGTTGAAAAACTGAGATTGAATTTAAAGAGAGAAGATGAAATCTAGAAAGAGGAAGAGTGAAAATAAACGGCCATTTGTAAAAAGTAAATGAGAGGTTTTTTATGCACAATTTTTGTATAGTTGATAATTTTTTTATACCACTTTATCATATAGGTTATCGGTTATAATGTTTATCTTGATATCATCAAAACAGCACTTTTACATGCTGTTATAATAATCAATATTAAATGAAATCCTAATGTAAAAATTATCATAACCTAAGGGTTTAAAAGATAATTAGTTTAAAACAATAGAATTCCAAAAAAACTTTTGTTAAAATATTGTTTAAGCTCGAATCATAATTGAAAATCAGTTAAATACAAATATGGAAATATAAAAATCAAACAGCACTTCAAAACAGCTAAAACAAGTCATTTTTTCAAAAGTCTGGTCTATCTGCTGCGACGCAAGCCACACTCGTCGTGGTGGATGGCACAGAGGGACAAATCCCTCAGAAGGCATTTGCACCACGGCATGACTACCATGCTCCGTGGCGCGCACATCTGCTGTCATGACAGTACTACGAACTTCAAGAGCATGCTATTTTGCCATCCAATGTCCAATTTGAGTGGTTCAAGTGTTTACATGAATCTCTTCGAACCTTTTAGCTAATGGCATTGGTTTCACACTGAAATAATTATTCATTGAAAAGATGGACACCTGAACCTAAAATAATTCATTTTTACCTTAAAGCGCGTACAAAGGTGTTCAACTCACAATGCTAAATGCCATTAGCCCTAGAAACACTTTGACCACCTTAAATAGACCATACACAACATGAAAAATCAATCATATCACATAATTAAGTATTCATACTCAAAATGACCACCAAACCTCCATTTGACAACAACACAAAGGGGTGGATATAACTTAGCATGCATATTAATTTAGTCATTTTTATACATAAATCACTTCAAATACATCACTTATAATTGTAACTTGGCCAAGCATACACTTAATCTACAACATCAACCTTGGATCAAGATACGCACACTTATGATAAATTCATACAAGTGATAATCAAAATAATATCATGATCTTAGGTTGACATAATATTATAACAATATTCATTACAAACCCAAAAGAAAAAAGAGAAGAGCTATACAATAATGCTCTTCACTATTCAATCACCCTTTCCTTTCCCCTTCCCCTATCGAAGCCTTCACTTGTAAAATGTAATCACGGTGTGAGATAAACATATTAGTAATAGAATAATTCACTACTATTAATTAACATGCACAACTATAAGAGAGTAAAGCTATTAAACTCCAAAATGTACTTTTAGCATATTATAACATACTCTTTTCTATGAATACAAATAATTTATCACTAACATAATCATTCTATCATCCAATCCTCTATATCACCTTGATCAAAACTATAGGCTTTTGAATCAAGTGCACATCCACAATGGTCTAAGCTTACCTTCGGTGGTAAAATCATTTGGCTAAAGGCGTCTTATCCCATTTTTAAACTATAGTTTCTCCATATCACACACGAATCAAGGTGTCGTTACTTTAATGCCACATTATTGATGCTAAGGAGCGTTACTCTCCAACGCGGTATCCCGCATGGATATTAAGGAGAAAATCTCCAACACCGTGCCTCACTAGGCACTAAAGAAATACATACCATATGAACTTTCACTATTCTTTCTTACAGGTGAATTCTCACCCCTAACATTATTATGTTCACACTCATATATAAACACATATACATTTCAAATTTTTCAATTAGTCTATATAAATTTTTACCATTCTCATCATTTGTAAATAGTTTTTCATGCATAAACCACATTTCGTAATATGCAAGGTTTTCAATTCTCAAGTAATAAATTTAACATATTTACTTACAAACAGTTAAGCAATATAATCAAATAGAGTAAATTATTCCATTACCTTAACCCTTTGTCACACAAAAGGATTAACGTGGCTCAACGTTAGCTTCACACGTTCTATATGCATGATAAGCTCGAGCAACACTCAGTTTATACAATCAAGTGACATTTATTAATTATCACTCTAGATAACCCCAAATTCACGAGGTTCTAAATACCTATAACACCCAAATTCCTTATTTAACTACATCAACCATTTTCAAACACTCTAACCATCCTATTAAACATCTCAATACACCAAAATTACTAGCCAAGTTCTCACATTATCTCAAAACCTTCAGATTATGTTTAGGGTTCGTTGAAACCCTCAACAAAAATTCAAAATTACCATAAAACTCATAAACCTAAGATTAAGGACTTGATTTAACCCCCTAATACTTTAAATAAATTAATGAGTTTGGTTTAAACCTAAGAAAACTGAAATTAAACCTTCATCACCCCACCAGTCCAAAGTTTTGCATAAAGAGGGAGAAGAAAGAATTTAGAACTTATCCAATGATGATTCAAGCTCCAAATGCTTCTAATGTGGCCTAAGAATCATGCCCTAGCAAACCCTGGTCGGTTTCTATCACCCTCTCACAATATCTCTCTTTCGTTTTCTAATTTTTGATCTATTTTTTGTGTTTAACAAGTACTTATTTTGCACGTGCGCTGCGACGTATGGATACGCTTGTCGTTGCACATGGATACGAAGAGTCCCACCAAAATTTAAACTCTTTTCTGTGTCATGGCTCACTCAAATATTAACCTAGCATTCTCCTAATGCTGTCAAAGAATTCAAAAACTATATTAGTTTCCTATAAACGTCTTTAATTAATAATTTATCTAAATTAATCAAAATACTCTTAGAAATACTAATAATTACTAATTTGAAAATCTAAGATGTTACATCGATGACTCTTAAAAAATAGTTTAAGGCTAAATTTATATTTTTTACCCTTTTATCTAAATTACAATTCAAAATTTAGGATTATAATTAAAAAATAAATAATTAATTTTATCAAACATTATTGTGTTCAACTTTCAAAAATGAATTTGAGGAATGAACATGGGTTTAAGGATTGAGATGGAAAGTAAAAAGAAGGGAGAATTTTAATTAAAAACCATGAAAAAGACTTAAGTATTGGTGGGTATTAAAAAATTTTAAAATTTTAGTTTAATCAAGAAAATAGATGTCAAAATAATTTCAATAATAAAAAAATCAAAATACTTTTTATTTGTTATGCAAAATTACTAATTATTAATTTTCTTACTTCATTTATTAATTTATTATTATAAATTATAAATTATATGAGTTGATATATCAATAATTATATAAAACTTGACGTCAGTTATTTAACCATAAGTAGTAACATCATTAGTTGTTAAATTGATAATTTTACTTATTAATTTATTAATATAAG